TTGTGGAGCCCAGGCCATGCAGCTTCTCACCAACAAAAGGAGCTAGTCAGAGGTGCCAGAGTCACACACCGAGTGCTGGTTTCACCTCTGCTCTCCAATCCTGCACATGCATCTTTCCTATGTCCCACCCAAGAAAGGGGACGTAAGGAATGTCAGTCCAGCCAAAACGGTATGTTAAAAATCTACCGGGAAAGCCACGTGTGGTGGTCACACCTGTAACCTTAGCCCTAGGTGGGGCAAAGACAGGCTAATCTCAATGAAGTCAAAAACAATCTGGTCTAGGTAGCAAGTTCCAGGCAAGCCAGGGTTATATTGTGAAACCCTTGTCTCAAAAAACTAAAAGCAAACAAGCATGCCGGTGGCCTGACCATGTCAGAGGAGCAGCAGGTGGCAACTGACTGCAGGGTGTCTGTCAGCCCACCAGGAGGAAAATCCCTGATGGTGAATCTCGGATAGGCAAGGCCCTGAGACCACAGACCACAGAGTGTCTTTTGCTTCTGCTGTGCCTTTACGTATTTGCCCCTGCCATTTTCCTCTGGTGTCTGGCATGGTGTGAATGGGTGTGGGGAGATCCCCACTGCCTGTAATGTAGTGTGATTATCCCGTGGAAACATCCCATTCTACTGGGCATTTTTACCTGTGGATTATTATGAAGATGTTTCCTTCCTAAGCTGTATTGTTTAATTGATAATAACCATGCTAGTTTACACAGAGTTTTGATGAATAAAAATAAATACAAGGAAATGTCACACAGTTCAGGTTAATGATTAAGGAAAACAATTGAGTCCCCAGAGCCAGGCTGGCTCTGATTTTCTCAATGCTGAACAACAATGCAGTCACAGGTTTTGATGTTCATCATTAGCTGAAACAAAGCCTTAAAATAACCTCAGGTTAGACCAGATGTTTGGATAATAGCTTTGAGATGAAAAACCCCAGAAAACAATCTAAAGTTCACAAGGATACATCACTGAGTCGTAGATTCATTAGGTTAGGGTCAAAAATACAAAGCAGCCCAATTGTTGCTACTAGGTTTGGTTGGTGATCAAAGGTGATGATTAATTCCTTGTGCCCACTTTTGCCTCAGTCTCTTAATGCAAGAAACTGTTGATGAGTGGGTGTGCACCCCAAAGATTTAAAATAGAGCTGACTGATTCTTTTTCATATATAAAAGTTTAGGTTTGTGATTCCTTTAAGAGTCCTTATAAGACTACCTTTCAAGATAAGACCCTTTCTTTCTAACTGCAAAATGTAGCCTGCTGGTGAAAGTCCTGATTGAGAAAAATACTTTGCTTGCCTACACAGTTAATCTCTAACAAGTTGCCTGGGTATGAATGTATGTGGGTTTTTAGGACAATTTGTTTTTCACCTGTAATACATAAAATGTTTAATCATGTAAAGGAGATGAAAAACATGTTTTTACCTGTATTCATTATAATCATTCGCTTGAAAAATAGAATGTAACCACATTGTAATTCCTATATTGCCTGAAAAACTTTGTTGGGGTATATAAGCTGTAGAAAAAAAAATATACAGTAGAAAGATCACAGAAGAATAGAGAATAAAGAAGGAAATCATCAAGAGAGAGTGTGAGTGTCTTTTCCCCTAACCCCCTCAGATCAAAAAGTCATAATAAGCTCCGACCCAGTGGCTTCCCTTTGAACCCGGTGCTGCTGGAGGTTGGTCCCACAGGCAGCAGTACAAACGGAAGTCCACTGGAGGCAGAGAAGGGAGGCTGTGGAGACGGCTCAGCTCGCAAAGTGCCTCTGCTCAAGTGGGAGGCCTGGAGTCTGATCCCCAGAACCCACATGAAAAAACGCCATGGTGACAAGCGCCTGTAACCTCAGTACTTCGGAGGAAGCAGGATTCTAGTGTGGCCTAATTGGTTAGCTGCAGGTAACCCGTCACGTGGAATTCCAGGCATGAACTCACGCTGTCAGGCCAGGCAACAAGCCCTTACCCACCGAACCATCTTGCTGGCCCTATTGGTTTTTCATATTTGCAGTTCTGAGGATTAAGTTTTGGGCTTCAGGGGCTGGAGAGATGGCTCAGAGGTTAAGAGCACTGCTCTACCATCTGTAGTGAGATCTGGTGCCCTCTTCTGGTCATACACGCTGTATACATAATAGATAAATCTAAAAAAAAAAAAAAAGAAAGAAAGAAAGAAAAGAAAAGAAAAAGGAAAAAGAAAGAAAACTAAGTCAACCTTTAGCCAGGCGGTGGTGGCTCACGCCTTAACCCCAGCACTCGGGAGGCAGAGGCAGGCGGATCTCTGTGAGTTCGAGGCCAGCCTGGTCTCCAAAGCGAGTTCCAGGAAAGGCGCAAAGCTACACAGAGAAACCCTGTCTCGAAAAACCAAAAAAAAAAAAAAAAAATAAAAAAATAAAAAAAGAAAGAAAGGAAGAAAGAAAGAAAGAAAAAGAAAAATCACCATTTGGTAACCATTGTTTTTTCAAGCAAGAATTTTCAAAGGATGCTACAAGGAGTCCGATGAAAGTACCAAGAACAGATGATTTAGTTTCAGCGCTTTCGTAAGATACCTGTCTTAGGTTGAGTTCTGTGGAATCAAATGTTGTGCTAGCTGTTTGTTTATTTGATTGTTATTGTTATTTGCCAATCTGACATAAGCTAGACTAATATGAGAAGAGGGACCCACAGCTGGGAAACTGCCTGTGTAAGACTGGCCTGCAGTAAGTCTGTAGGACATTTTCTTAAGTTGTGACTGATGTAGGAGCTGAGTGAGGCAATCAAAGTGTTCCTCATTGGCCTCTGCTTTGGTTCCATGCCTCAGGAGTTCCTGCCCTGACTTCTTTCTATGGTGGATGTGTAAGTCAAATAAACCCTGCCCCTCCCCGCCCCCGCCCCCCCCCCCCAAAAAAAGAATGCATACTGCTTTAGCCAGGCGGTGGTGGCGCACGCCTTTAGTCCCAGCACTCAGGAGGCGGAGGGGAGGCAGGCGGATCTTTGTGAGTTCGAGGCCAGCCTGGTCTACAGAACGAGATCCAGGACAGGCACAAAGCTACACAGAGAAACTCTTTGTTGAAAAAAACAAAAAACAAACAAACAAAAAGTTTTGAGCTTCAGACATGCCAGGCAAGTGCTCTGCCACTGGGCTATGCTTACCCAGCCCTTCTATACTTTGATCTCTACATGATTTAGGATAAGGAACTCAATGTAAATAGTGGTTAGACCAGTGGTTCTCAATCTGTGGGTCATGACCCCTTTGACAAACCTCTATCTCCACAAATATTTACATTAGGGTTCATAACAATAGCAAAATTACAGTTATGAAGTAGCAATGAAAAAAATTTCATGGTTGGGGTCACCACAACATGAGGACCTGTCTTAAAGGGTCACAGCACTAGGAAGATTGAGAAGCACTGGGTTAGGCTACATTGTTAAGGAGGCAAGGGATGAAGAAGAGTTCCTGTGTGTTTTGTTTTGTTTTTTTGAAACAGGGTTTCTTTCTTTTTTTTTCTTTCATTTTTCTTTTTATTTATTTATTTATTTATTTATTTATTTATTTATTTATTTATTATGTATACAGTGTTCTGTTTGCATGCATCCCTGCAGGCCAGAAGAGGGAGCCAGATCTCATTACAGATGGCTGTGAGCCACCATATGGGTGCTGGGAATTGAACTCAGGACCTCTGGAAGAACAGCCAGTGTTCTTAACCTCTGAGCCATCTCTCCAGCCCCCTTCTTTTTCTTTTTCTTTGTTTTTCAAGGCAGGGTTTCTCTGTGTAGCCCTGGCTGTCCTGGAACTCACTTTGTAGACCAGGCTGGCCTCAAACTCACAGAGATCCACCTGCCTCTGTTCCCTTCATGCTAGGATTAAAGGCGTGTGCCACCACCGGCTTGTGTGTGTGTTGTACACATTTTTTCCTCATATATATTTGTCATGTGTGGGTGGCTGAGCCCATGGATGTATAATCCAGGACTGTCCAGAAGGTTTGCAGGATGGTGAAACTTGACACAAGCTGGAGTCGTCTGGGAAGACGGAACTTCAGCTGAGAAAAAGCCTCCATAGACCGCCTGTAGGCAAGTCTGTGTGGCGTTTTCTTGACTGACAATGGGTGTGCAAGGGCCCAGCCTGTGAAACCTCAGTAAAAAACCAAAAAACCCCCACTCCATCCCCTACAGACAAAGAGAAACAAACCAGGATTCCTAAGTGTAGATAAGAACTTAACCCCTTTCAAGTTCCCAGGTGGTGATATCAGCTACAGGGACTTAAAAAAAAAAACAAAAACCACAAGAATCAGGGTATTCATTCGACTATCTGGCAGGAGCTAATTGGTCATAAAAACATCCCAAACTTCCCGAACCCAGAGACAGCTTGTAAAACTCCTAAACATGGTTGCTGAACAAACGAGAGATAAAGATTACATGAAAGACTGAAAAAAGGGAAACTGATAAGAACCAAAGGAAGAGAGACAGGTTGTGGGAAATGAATTATGTGGTCTGTGCCTTTAAGAACTAGCCTCACGGCCGGGCGGTGGTGGCGCACGCCTTTAATCCCAGCACTTGGGAGGCAGAGCCAGGTGGATCTCTGTGGGTTCGAGGCCAGCCTGGGCTACCAAGTGAGTTCCAGGAAAGGCGCAAAGCTACACAGAGAAACCCTGTCTCAAAAAAAAAACCAAAAAAAAAAAAAAAAAAAATAGATTATTAAAAAAAAAAAATATTTCAGCTGGGCGGTGGTGGCGCACGCCTTTAATCCCAGCACTCGGGAGGCAGAGCCAGGCGGATCTCTGTGAGTTCGAGGCCAGCCTGGTCTCCAAAGCAAGTTCCAGGAAAGGCGCAAAGCTACACAGAGAAACCCTGTCTCGAAAAACCAAAAAAAAAAAAAAAAAGAACTAGCCTCACAAAGAAAGGGGAGGCTCCTTCCAGCCTCACTGCTGCATGTGAGAGATTTGGAACCAGCCTCCCTACCAAGGCTTGTAAACTTAGAACAAACCTTGCTTTTGCATTCTGTACCTAAAGTCTCCGGTGGCCTCTTTGGGGACGCGATCTGGGCACAACACAGCCAACTGTGGGCAGTGCTACCTGTGGGTAAATGGTTCTGGGGTGTATAAGGAAGCAGGCTGAGCAAGCCAGTAAGCAGCAGTTCTTCGGGGCTTGGCTTCCGTTCCTGCCTCGAGCTACTGCTGACTTCCTTCAAGACGGACTGGAAGCTGTAAAGTGAAATAAACCCGTTCTTCTCCAAGTTGCTTTTGGTCATGATCTTTATCACAGCAATAGAAACCTAAGATACCTGGTGACCCAATTAATAGTATCTGAAAAAAGTTCAATTAATAAATTTAATCTAAGTCAGGTGGTGGTGGCACAACCCTTTAGCCCCGGCACTTGGGGGTCAGAGGTAGAGTCAGGTAGATCTCTGAGTTTGAGGCCAGCCTGGTCTACAGAGCTAGTTCTAGGACAGCTAAGACTACACAGAGAAACCCTGTCTCAGGGGAAATAATAATAATAATAAATTTAACCTACACTTAGTAAAATCCCATAATAATTTCTATTCCAGGAGCTGGAGGTATGGCTCAGTGGTTTAGTACTTGACTAGTATGTGCAAGGTCCTTGGTTTAATCCCCAGCACTGTAAAAACAAATGAATAAATGTAAGTAGAACTATACAAGTAGATTCCTGTAGAAGAAATAATACATGAATGGGACCTGGAGAGATGGCTCAGACATTAAGAACACTGGCTGCCCTTCCAGAGAACCTGGGTTGATTCCCAAGACCCATGCTGGAGGCTAATAACTGTAGTAACTCCGGTTCCTGGCGATTCCTCAGGCAATGCATGCCTGCAAGTGGTACATGGACACATGTGCAGGCAAAATACTCATACATGTAACATAAATACGTATTTGAAAATATGAAAATCACACACACACACACACACACACACACACACACACACACACACACACATATATATGAAACCCAGCCTGCTAGATGTAAACTGGTTATAGGCATATGCTGGTTAATAGTGTCAATGAAGCCAGGGGCTAGTGGTGCGCACCTTTAAAGCTGGGTGCATGCCTTTAACCCCAGCACTTGGGAGATAGAGGCAGGAGGATCTCAGTGAGTTTGAGGCCAGCCTGGTCTACAGAGTGAGTTCCAGGATAGTCAGGGCTACACACAGAAACCCTGTCTCGGGAAAAAAAAAAGTGTCAATGAAGGTTCCCATTTCTTCAAGCTCTGGAGGGATCTACTGAGATATCCTGCCATGCTGGTTCCTGACCTGGTCTTCAGAGGTCTGTAAATGCCAGAGTTGTGGGGGTTTTGTTTGTTTGTTTGTTTGTTTTATGTGCATTGGTGGTTTGCCATGGTGTTGGGTACCCTGGAACCGGAGTTACAGACAGGTGTGAGCTGCCATGTGAGTGCTGGGAATTGAACCCAGGTCCACTGGAAGAGAAGTCAGTGCTCTTAACCACTGAGCTATCTGTCCAGCTCCATATTGTGGTGCTTTTTGCTTGTTTGTTTTTATGGAAAGACCACAACTTTTGTTAATTTCTTTTAATTAAAGTACTTTAAAGGTTTTTTAAAGGTTTGTTTTATTTTTAGTTGTGTGTGTGTGTGTGTGTGTGTG